AATAAATTAATAGGGTTATTATGTAATTTATCATTTTAATACATGTATAACTAATACCACATAACTTATTTCACCTTCTACCCTGCATAACTTTATACATAGATTTCCTCATAAGTTATGTAGGTATTAATTATGTAGGACTACAAAAAATGCAATCAAACACCGTATAAATTATTAAATGAATAACTTTTATACAACATTTAAATTGTTACCAACCAAACATGGTCTAAGTTATGTTGACTTTTATACCTAATACAAAACTCCTACCAAACATAGTAAAGCTAGTGCAACTTTTTATACATGAATAATATGTCTCTTATACAGTAACCAAACGACCCTAAGTGTATTAAAATGTGTGATAAATGTATTATTCATCAATAAATTATATGTGAATAATAAAGTGTTCTTCGTAATATGTATTAAACATGTATTATAAATGTATTAAAAGTGATCAAGTGAAAAAAATATTATTGCTATAAATGGTTTTTTTTTTTCTATTATAGTATATTTATGTAAGTTTTCCATTTAAATTTATGACCAAATTCTGACCAAATTTTCTGGTCACAGCATTACCCAAATTAAACATTTTTCATTTGTAAAGTCAAAAGTGCCTACTGGGATTAGCAAACACTTTGCAGAAACATTGTTACTTTAATGACAATGGGTATTTCTTTTATTATTAATCTTCACCCTAGTTAGATAGATAAGAAGTTTTGAAAACAGGTGATTAGATAAAAAATAATTCATTAAGGGATCGTTTGGTAGAGTGTATAAAAATAATGTTAAATGGAGTGTATTAGCAATGTTTGCATTAGCAATGCATGTATAGTTATGCCTGCATTGGTTATACATAGATTATTATAGTTTACTAAGGATATAATTGTTGATTAAAAAATGTGGAGATTGATGATTAGGATAGAAAATTATTAGGTAGATCATTGTCTAATTTTATTTTCACTATTGTTAAATTACTCTTGTACTATCTTATTATTCTTTTTAAGTATTACGTGATGTTTCGTGTTATTTTATTATTGCTATTATTACTATTACTAGTTCTGGAAACGTGCGCTGCACGTTTATCTTCTATTACGATCTAAGATTTATGTAAGTCTAATCTCATGTAGATATAAATATTTATCAAATTATATTTTTATAAATACGATAAAGCTTGTATTGATTAATATGTTTATATATACGGAGTCACCTTTGTTAGGGAGCACTTTACCCCCAATGTGGGATTTTCCGGCGCGAATCCGAATTTAGTCGGGATCCAATGTGGGTACCGGACACCGGGTGGGAAACCAAAAAAAAAGAATGTTTCTATATAAAGCTTACTTTTGCATCCAAAAATAAATGAAAAGAAGAATTTCAAATATAATCTTCTAGACTAAAATATCTAAATATAAATATGTTTCTCTATACAAAATACAAGGGTGACATCTAATTCTTTTCATTTAACTTTTAGTTATTTATTTGGAAAATAAAATATGTTGAATTATGTAAAACTAATTAAGATAATATAGCATCTGATGATATGTAACATATCAAGGAACTCTTGCTCTAAATTTAAGAAGTGCACGTAAACATCACTAACGTGGATGCCTTTTTTGTACACTTTGAGACGGTACTTAGTTGAATGCAATAAAAAATTAGGTAATCAACATAATACTTAAATGACCATCATTATTATCTATAATAATTTTCTTCCAAAGATTGTAGCTAGCTATGTATGTTATGAAACAGGAAAATCTAAGCTCTTATAAAATTATAAAGGAAATAAATTTAATGAAAGAAAGATAAATGTAGCACTTTTTTGATGATCAATTTAAATAACATAATTAAGTGAAATGACAAGGAAAGGAAGAAGAGAGTTTCCATCTCACTTACCCAAAATATGTAAATCAGTGAAAACACGCGAAATTCCTTCAATAATTGCCTAAAAATTAAATATTAAAAGAGAAGTTTTCAAAACATGAAAATGTATTAATTAGTTACTTACTATGCTTGTTAGAAGGCCAACTTTGTGAAAAGATGATTATCAACCTCCGCAAAGATTTTCAACATCCATTCCCATCACATTGCAAGCTCCGTATGAAGTTTTAGAATGTACATGTATATTTTTCTCCTGTAAAAAATAAAAGAATATAATGAAAGTGATTAGTGATCAACTAATGTATTTAGAGTGAAATGAAAATTTTGTTTAACAATCATGCATTTTTGCTATATAACTATCGGGTGACCTCTTTGCTACACAAATATAATATTGACTCTGATAGTAAATTACCCCAACTCTTCATTCTCCTTATTCATAATTATTTTTGCTATAAGTGAACATTTATCTCATAATTAATACCGTGCAACTCTTCATTCACCTTCTTTATTATAATTATTATAGCAATAAGTGAACATTTATAGGTAATGGAGAGTAATTTAGATTAGGAAGAAAATCAAAAGCCAAAAACGGATAAAACAAGCAAGCAGGTATATACTGATTAGCATT